GATGTATGGCACTGGTAGGTAAGAGCTGTCTTGCCAAGGTAAAAGAAAAGGAAGACAAAGTTCAGGTTGGGTGCCACCCAACCTCATTTAATTGAGCATTGAGAAAAAAAGGACCATCACATACCAGCATTTCTAGGGCTATTACCCACTTCATCCTTACCCATGCAGTCAGCAAGCCAGCACATACAGAGCCCTGTATGCAATAAATTCAACTCTCACCACTTCTTTTAACTAGAGAAGAACTACTGAACTAGTCAGTCTGTTAATTCATCAGAATGTCGCTAACTGATTAGGGCAGACATAGTTTTATAAAAAAAAGTCCAGTACGAGTAATTATTTATTTTAATTGAGTTCAGTTTGTTCTGTGAGGAGAACTGGGCACATTTCTGCACTGAGCACTGGCAGTGCACTTAACTCTTTAGCTAAAGGCTCTTTGGGTCCTTAGTGGTGTCCTACTATGCTTTTCCTGGGTATTTTGATCCTGCATCATGGACTGTATCATGTATTTCGTGAGACAATAAAATAAAAGCAAAAACTACATAGGGCCTGTGACAGAGATGTATGTGCAAGCAGAGGCTACTTGTGCTTTCTCACCAATCTGTATTAATTATCAATTCAAATACATAATCTGGAATCCACATGCCACTAAAAGTAACCAATAATTTGACTGCCTGCCTCTTTGGAAGTAATTTATTTTGGTAAAATATTTATTTGAGTGGTTTTTTGAATTCAAAACAACTTCATTTTCCTGATTTACATTGTTAAGGGTTTCTGACAGTAAGTGTGCATTTAAATTTTTAGACTTGTGACATCCTTATTCTGTTTCTAATTAAGCCTCAGTAATAAGGCATGACTCTCTGACCGTGTTTAAATCCCTTCCCAAATGCATAACTTTGGATTTATAGTCACCTTTAGTAATAGGTATTTAGTTTAAGATCAATATTTTAGTTGAAGGAAACACACTGAAAATAAATGAATTCAATATATCCCAAACAGCCAGTGTAACTATTCTGGGCTGAACAGGCCATTTGAAATACTCACTCCGGCTGCATTGCACTAGTTAAAGATATCCTTTGATTTGTTCCAAATACTTCTTTGTGCCTATTCTGGATTTTCTAACAGATGTATTGTCCCTTCCCACTTAGGATAAGGAACAAAAATCGGACTACATTTCCCATGGCATTTGACAGTAGAAATATAGTTTACACTCTGACTATAGACAATCAGGGTGCGGGCACTGCTACAAAGCCTTTACTGTACCATAAAACTCATAATATTTGCCAAAGCAGGTAATACTGACAGATGCACTTTCCACAGTCCTAACTGTACCTGGAAGAGTTTCTCATTGCAATCTAAGTAGGCCAATATAAAAGAAGGTGATGAGCTATGGAGAAAGTCAGGTTACTCTCTGTAGGTGCTTAGCTGAACTCTCCAGAGAGAAGTGAGACCCATAACTTAGTTATCTCTGATGGTATTCATTCCATTCTCCTTCTCTTTAATGCAGTCATTATACCTCAGACTGTGAGCAATGAAAGACTGGATATATTTTGGTTTGTTGGTTTGGTTGATTGGTTGCTTTTTATAGAACACACAGTTATTTGGCTAGGTGTTGCATCATGAGATGCAGGCTTTTGCCCATGCAGGTGACATTACATAATGCCCTGAGCATTACATAAAGTCCAGGCTTAGGACTTCAAAGTAGCCAGTGGACTGATGATCCCGTTGCACTGTGCACACCTTGCACTGCACAAGCACTTAGTGCACAGTAGATTTAGAGTCCAAGTAACGCAATGGTCAGAAGGTAGGAAAAGAAAAAGCAGCTTGATCAGAGCCTTGACCCAGCTAGGAATGGAGATTGGATGTACAGCTCCCAGGCCTTTAAGGAACAGCTGTCACTCTCATTTTGGCCCAATATTAAAAATTTAACAGTGCTTTAGATTTTTTTTCCCCTTGAGCTGGTACCCTCCAGCTCCTTGAAAAGAAACCTCACAGCATCATGCCTGATGGGAAAAGGTATTTTTGCAAAATCATCTTTTTGAAGAAGTGACACAAGGAATGAACCACTAAAATTAGATCCTGGGAGCAGTGGGAGGGATGAGCAAAAGTAATATCTGCAAAGTAATGATGCAGGTAGGCTCACACCATTACTCTCCATGTTATTGATTCTGATGTATACATTGTATCACTCTCACTAAAAAAAAAGTGAGGTTTTTTTATTTTCATCCTCTCCCATAATGACTAAGAATATGAACCTAATTTCAACATGTATACACCTCCTGAACCAAATATGTGGTGTTCAACTTGCCAGCAACTATAACATGATTTTGGACACCAAATTACACTATCATTTCAAAAGGCTGCCATTTCTGTTCTTTCTTGTCATACATGCACAATTCAAAACAATTTGTAAGAAACATTATATTCATTTGTGGTACTTGCCAGAAAAGGACAGAAAATTTTAGTAGGGATTATAAATTAACACCACTGTGGTTCTCAGAAACCTTTATATTCTACCAGAATTTTAAACATGTGGTTTAGCTTCCAGTGAAATCAAATGGAAAACTAAGAATCAAACTGTCTCGGAGTGAAGTTTCATGTTGTCTTGGCCATTGGTTGAAAATTAGGATAGTTATTACAGTAGTTATGCTGCTGGAAGTATTTAAAGAAAACAGTAGGAAACACAAAAGGTTATTCAGAAGAGGTAATTATGGATTAACCATTTAATGCATTAAAGCTCACTCAACCACCCTTTTTCTGACTTGGAAGAATGTCAGAATTAAGAAAAAAAAATTTTTTTTTAAACCTGTGTTTTTCATTAGTAGGATATGTTTTGTGCAACTGCCATGTCACAGAGAACTATATAGCAATGTTGAACAATAATAATAGCCACATGAAATTCCATATATCTTTCTTTTACCCTCTGCCTATTTGGAAAATTATATGCTGCTTTAAGCCATGTTACTCATGTAAATACTTGCTGAGAACATGGTACAATCTACTGCAGACACAAAGTACTGAAACAGTAATAATAAGGCGATTACTTCAACACAGACCCTATGTACCGTGGAAGTCCCACCTGAGAACTGAAAATAGGGTTTTAATTGTAACATAAGTGTTTCTGCTCTGTAGAGAGAAATTTCACCCAAAGAGAGCCACAGATCTGCATAAATAACATCCAAATGAGCCAAGCAAAAGGAAACATTTATATTAGGATACGCTTTACTTTTGCTGTGTTTTTCAGTACACTGAGGAGACACTGCTTGAGAAACACTGGTAGCTGGTTCCTAGAACAACTCTCCGTGTAAAGAACACTTATTTTTGCAAGACCTGGCAAATGATTTTTATTTGAGGGAACTTGCCTGGACTTTAGAGTGTCTGCTGTTTTATGACATAAAACTTTTTTTTTCCCCTAATCATTTTAGTTGTAATGTGGAATAATTACCCAAATCCCTTTAGCACTGCTTTCACAAGTCATACCAAATGTAGGACTTTCTTACGGTCTCTCTTCCATACTGTATTGTTTTTATATTTCTACTAAACCAAAAAGGGAGATTCATGAGTGAACTCTGTCCTGCTACACAGAGATTTATTCCAGTCATTCTAAAGTCAGCGAGACTGAATGGATGCCAAGGTTTTTGTCCCACCCTGGAGTTTATCACAAGGAAAATAGTTTAAACAGCATTTTGCAATATTTTTTTTCCAGCATCTGGATTACAAGACCCAACATCTTTTCCTTTCTTTTTTTTTTTTCAAATTGTCATTAAGATTTCACATGACAGGAATATTTATTTAATTTTATGGTTTTGAGTTCCCTGCTGGAACAATTTCCTCTGACACAATTTCAACATTTCCTCATTGAATTTTTATGGCTGTAGTGAACAGTGCCAAAAGCTTTACCCAATGTAACCTCATAAGCATCTTTCCACTCACAATTTCACAGCACTGAGATTGAGTAGATTTTTCAAAGCACTTAAATGACTTAAAACTTTACACACATTTTCTAAAAAAGACGTGGGTGTATAATAAATTCCATGAAAGCCAGCAGTATGTCTGACTTTCACAATAGTCAGGCAGCTTTTTATCAGCCATCTGAAGCACTAATAGCTATCTAGCTATGGCAAGATGCAATGCAGGTTTGGCAAAGAAGCCTATAAAGTTTTTGGGCTGCAATTAAATTGTTATTAGTAAATGGGCTGTCCCTTAATTGCTGCTGAAAATTACAAGCAGTCTGCTACTTACAAGCATCACACCTTGGAACTGAGGTCACCTCTTCTACTGACAATAACCTCCAGTGTGCTCTCCAAATTCCTAAATTAAGTTATCGGAAAAACAATGTGAAAATCAGTTTTAACCTTACCACAGCACATGGATAATTTTCTTTTTCATTCTACAGCCTCGGTCCCCTTGCTCTACAAAGTCTTTCACACTCTTTCAGATTCTCTTTCCTTGCATTTTCCTTGTTCTCCAATTTCTACCGCCTTATCCTCTTCCCTTAAGTGGATTTCTTTTGGATATTAGCAGTCTCACTTCTAATTCTCTCCCTAACAGCAACTCCTCTTACCTTCTCAGATTTGCTCTCTTTTCTCATGTTAATGATGATCCCTTTCTCATCTCTCCCTAAGACACTGCTGGTCAACATGTAAGTACTAAATATTTTCGCCAAGAGCAAAGCCATTAATGAGCAGGGCAGTGAAAAACAGTTCGTTTATAGAATATTCAGTCCATCAGGACATTCTGTAATATTTTATTTTGTTTTCTTCTAAGCAAGAAGGAAAAAACAAATCTGTAATTGAAAACCAGCAAGTGACTTGGACACACAACAGCATTATCATGCTGGAAGAGGCTTGAAGCTAAAATATTTTGTCTTGCTGTCTGTCCCTGGTAGGCAAGGACATGTGCACAGTAAGTCACTATGACACAACAGATCTAGGGAACTTGCAGTAACTCAGACTGTCAGAGCCATCCATCTTCATCCATCTTCAGTACTCCTCTGCAACTCTCCTGTCCCCAGTATATGCTCTTATAAGGGTGTGCTCAAGTGCTTCTTTCTATCCTTACAGGGAGGAAAAAACAAGTCAAATTAATCAAAAATCCCATAACTTCTTAACCAAAGCCCGGCAAAAAAATAATGAAGTAACATATGTTAACTATAACAGATCTTCAAAGCTCTAGTTCACGAACATAGTGTCAGAGTACCCAGAAAGAGCAGAGGATTACCTGTGCCCTCAGATATTTTCAGAAGAGACTGAGGAAGGGAAAAAGAAGAACAGACAACTGAAGTACACAAAGCCAAGCTGCATGTTTAGGACACAGTCAAAGGTACATCCCAGCTCTTCAGTATCCTGCCTCAGGACTTGTTACAGACAGCTTATATGAAGGAGACACTGATATTTAATAGGTCTGATCTCAGTAGAGAGGCCACCATAATTTCCTAGGTAGGAAATCCTGTCAGGTAAAGAGGGGATTCATTCTCCTCCTCAAGCAGACACAGGTTAGCACCTGCATTGGTAATGCACTAGAATATTTATGAACACTATACTAATATACTTTGTCAGGCAGCTAATTAACATTCCTTGGACTCCTCACATTATCTCACCTCTCTCCAGCGGGCTGATCTCCAGCAATGTTACACTGAAACACTGGTGTTTTGTACGAGGCACCGATCATGCAGAATACCTTCTATTTCACCAAACTTCACTTCATCACTCGAGACTGCCTTCTTGTCACCAGCCCCTGTGCTTCCCCACTATTGAAAACTATTTCCTCTGCCTGAGGCCATCCAAACTATCTACCTCTCTATTTTAAACTGACAAAAGAAAAAAAACCACAACAAAAAAAAACGTTCTGTTCCTAACAGTCCTTAGTATCTATCCTTTCTTCAACTCAAATGCCTGTCTACTTCAGGCACATTTTTCCTGTCACAGTGTCTCTTCAGCGCCTTTCATTTGTCTGATTCCAATCACGTACAGCCAGCAACATTCCTTCTTGTAGGAACATCCTCCTGGATGAGGGGATTGAGTGTACCATCAGCAAATTTGCAGATGACACCAAGCTGGGGGGAGAACGTTGATCTGTTGTAAGACAGGAGGGCTCTGCACAGGGACCTGGACAAGCTGGAGAGTTGGGCTGATTCCAGTGGGATGAGGTTCAACAAGGCCAAGTGCCGGGTCCTGCACTTTGGCCACAACAACCTCATGCAGCGCTACAGGCTGGGGACAGAGTGGCTGGAGAGCAGCCAGGCAGAAAGGGACCTGAGAGTTTGGATTGACAGGAAGCTGAACATGGCCAGCAGTGTGCCCAGGTGGCCAAGAAGGTCAGTGACATCCTGGCCTGGATCAGGAACAGTGTGGCCAGTAGGTCCAGGGAAGTGATTCTTCCCCTGGACTCAGCGCCGGTGAGGTCACACCTGGAGTACTGTGTCCAGTTCTGGGCCCCTCAGTTCAGGAAGGATATTGAGGTGCTGGAGCAGGTCCAGAGAAGAGCAATGAGGCTGGTGAAGGGACTCGAGCACAGGCCCTATGAGGAGAGGCTGAGGGAGCTGGGGTTGTTCAGCCTGGAGAAGAGGAGGCTCAGGGGAGACCTTATCACTCTCTACAACTCCCTGAAAGGAGGTTGTAGCCAGGTGGGCGTCGGTCTTTTCTCCCAGGTAACCAGCAGTAGCACAAGAGGGCACGGTCTTAAGCTCTGCCAGGGGAAGTTTATGTTGAATATTAGGAAGAAATTTTTTACAGAGAGAGTGATCAGACATTGGAATGGGCTACCCAGGGAGGTGGTGGATTCTCCATCCCTGGAGGTTTTTAAGATGAGACTGGATGTGGCACTTAGTGCCATGGTCTGGTAACCACAGTGGTGTTGGATCAAGGGTCGGACTTGATGATCTCAGAGGTCCCTTCCAACCTGATTGATTCTATGATTCTATGATTCTATGATCCTATGATTCTATGATTCTATGATTCTATGAACAGTCACCCTCTTTGAGATAGGCATGCAAAGTAGCAACAGCAGTCTGCTGTAAAGAAAACCAGAGTCAAATGAGGTTGTAACAAGGGAGCTAAACAGAGACAAAGAATAAAACCCCTAGTCACAAGTAGATTAATGCTGGGCAGGAAGTACCTCCAGCCAGAAGAAGAGTATCTGTTTGTTTTTTTTTCTTTACTGTTTGACACTGCTTTACATAGCTCATAATGTCAACAAAGTATTTGATTTGAATTTTATCAGGCACTGCAGGCTGACAAAATTAAATCTAATTAGCAAACCCCTCTGCTCCTGAGCATTCAATCCAGAAAGATTTTACCTTCTAATCTTAAAGCAACCATAGGAATTTGACTTATTTCAGCTGTTACATTTTTGATAATTCCCTAGAAATATTTACCAAAATTGGATTTTCACAGTGTCAAGCACATTTTCAAAAAGCACAGAAAAGGGAAATTCTGTTTTCTCCAGGCACTCAGGGCTCCTCAGAGGACTGACTGCTACTGTTAAGGACATGTAGGGCTTCACAGAGCAAACATCAAACCTTAGTCTTCTTTGGGAAGTAATACAGCTGTAAGTGCACCCAGCAGAGCTGGATCATGATGCGACGGACTGGGAAACAGCTCTGTGGATCCCAGCTCTGATGTTTTCTTCCCTACAGTGAGCTTAAACATTGCTGCTTGAAAATGACAAGAGCACAAGTCACAACGGTTGTGGAGCCTACAGCTGGAAGCAAATAAAGTTACAAGAGAGAGAGATTTATATTAAATAATTATACAAGTATATTTGTGTGATATTATAAACAGTTATATGTATTTATTTAAAATGAATCCATGATTCAAATTAATCTCTTCTTTGAAGACAACAGCAGAAAACATAAGATAACAAATCAGGTATCCACTATTTTTTCTTTTTCACAAAAAATAATCTTGTTGAAGCTATGTAATTTTCATCAGCCATAGCCAGATCTAAGGTACGTAACTCAGCTTTTCTGCTCTGGTCTGATAAAAGCAGAAGCTGTAATTACTGCAGCTCATTGGCATAATATATTCAATATTGTTACTAGTACAAACACATCTATTTAATAATCAGTTCACTTAGCAGGTTTTTTTAATTAAATATTAAAATTAATTTTATGGCTCTGGAATATGAGAATGAAAGCCACCATACAAATCAGATCAAGACCACATATTTTTAAGTGGTACTGGACAAAAGAAACTGTTATGAATTTAATAAAAATGAAAATTAAAAACATAGAAATACATTTTACAAATTAATAAACTCCTGACTTGCCTGTATTAAAGAACTGAATTAAATATATTTAAAGTCACAAATAGATTTTAAAAAAAATTTATTTATATAATACCGACAATACAAAACAATTTGGTCCCTACCTTGAATATATTCCATCATATAAAGTCTTTACCTCTGTAACTGATTACACGCAGCACAAGTTTATTTTCTGAACTGAATCAGAACTAGGATACTGAGTATTAACATAGACTTTAATTTGACCAGGAAAATCATGGTAGTCTCTTACTAACATTTGTTTGGTGTATAGAAAGCTCAAAATGATTTTCAAGAAAGGATCAGGAGGAAATGGAAAGATTATTTTATGGAAACACAGCCAACAGGAAATTGATACTTTTTCCTAATATTTTTACATAAATGAAAGATCAGCATAATCCTTTTGCTCGTTCATGTTATAGCTTTTGTCCTAAGACTTCAACACCAGAGAATAATGCAGCCATATTATTGTTTTATATGCCAGAAAGTTTTAAACTTGAATTATTATGACATATCACTGTCTAGTAATAAGTTATTGTTCTCTTCCTGTGTGACGCTGAGGTTGTAAAGCAAGAAAAAACAAGAGCCAAGAAACTGAACTGGCATTAACTGTTACTCTTCCCCAGAGAAGCAATTTTTTTTTTTTTTAGTGGACACTTAAAAGATGATAGGATGGAGCAGAATGTACATAGTGAATATAAAATTACTATAATTCCAAGAACTGTTTTGTTGTTCTTAATTTACTTTTTACAGCACACTCAAAAATAACCTGTGGACATTCAAGGCTATGTGACCTGCAGACTGAAAAATACTTTTGAATAGAAAGTAGAAGGAATTGAAATAATTAAATGTCACCACTGTAACCAGATTGAGAAGAAATCTATGTAAATAGGCCTTCAAATCCACAAGTACCAAGGGAAATAAATGCTTTTTTTCAATTAATAAAACGTTCATTTTTACTTGCAGATGATATATCAAGACCAGCTGTCCTTTTGACTCAGGAGCTAGATCCAGTTCAGCAATATCTGCATCAGGAAAGACTTCCTAATTCATCAGTAACATTTTTGGTCCAAAAAAAGAGATATTGGGACCTCTTCTAGCTTGTATAATGTCAAGGGGTCAAGCCTGAGCTCTTCACTTACCTTGAAACTGATCCTCCACTATTCAAGACCAGGACTGTGATCCCTAAAGTATTCTAATTTAAAGAATATTCCCATGAGACACAAACTCTCACATGGGGTGACCTCTGTGTCCTAAACATGCATTCAAATATGTTCTGGTCCCCTGTGAACACCCACATGCCAGATCTTTGGCAGAGCAGATCTAGGGGGCATACTGCAGGGAACTCCCACTCATGGTCTTCTCTTTCAGAATCTTTAAAGAGTCATAGTTCCTCTGACAGGGTCTGTTTGAAGTGCTGCAAAGGCCTTAGGCATAGGGAAACCACCGACTATCTCGTTATGCATTTTACAATGGATTTTTTTATTCTGTTTGTTTGTTTGTTTGTTGCTGATGTTGCTTCTTCCTGACACAGCAGATTTAGTAGATCTTTTCTCTTCTTCATAAACTATCAAAATAAGTCATGCTACTATGACACCAGAAGAGAGAAAAAATGGCCATGAACTGAAACTCATTACCATAAATTATAATATGCTACCTTCCCTTGAGGTCTCAATTAAAAGTAGTAAAAAATAAGACTGAAAAAGTGTTAGAGGAAATATTTAAAGCTCAAGTTTAGTTTTAATCTTGCTATCCTATGCCCAGGTTTGTCATAGATTTCAAAGAAATTGTGCCATCTAATATTACTGAAGAATATTTCGTAAACACTTTTATTTATCTAATTCCCTCCCTATTCTTACCTCCTCCAACACAGTTGGAATGGTTTGTCTAATTGTTCATAAATCATTTCTTCTTGCTTTACAAAATATACTTAAAACAAATTTGGGAAAGAAATGCAATGGAGCAAATTGATAAAACAGGTACGAATAGTTGCAAATCCAGTTGTAGCCCATTATACACAGTGGCTTCCACCACTGTAGGCTGAGATTGTTCACTGGCCAACCACACTGAAATTAAAAGGGAAAATTGGTAGATATCATAAAGATTTTTTGCCTAGATCTTACTGGGAAGTACTGCAGCCCTGGCTGTGTTCTAGAGCAAGTTCTACAAAGGCGAAATCTTATCCTGAGACAATGAGATTGCAAGTTCTCATGAATTTTTTTAATATTCTTTTTTCCCACCTACTCTACCCTTAATTTTTTTCTTGCCCAGCTTTTGTTTTTTTTCTCCAGTTGGTGTCAACAGCTTCTTCCTAATAATTTCTTCAGGCCTATAACATCAACATCACCATCGAGTCAGACTTTTTTCAGTTCTCACATCCAGAAGGACATCTTTCTGCCAACCATCACCAAGATAATAGGCCTTTTTGTTTCTCTTTCCATGATTAAGAACTTATAGATGAAATATCTGTTTCTCTTCAGCATTAGTCTGTCCATACTTGTTCAAAATAATACAAAACATCGATTTCCTGCTCTGATAGGCCTTGGAAGTGGCCCTTTATTGTTCTGTTTGAGTACTCCGACCATAGAGGATATTTTCAATTGGAAGAATCTCACTAGCTATAGCAATTCTGCAGGACCCAGAAGATCTGGAGTCTAAGCGCATGCCCTGCATATGTTTTGACTGAACGGCAAGAGGTAACTGTGACCGGATTATACCATTCTCCCTTTGTATTTTTCCACATACCTCTCTTCTATTCCACCAAAAGTTGTGGGTATCATGTCCCACTTATCATGAAATGTCAACCTCTGTTCCCACTCCTCTGCAGACCCAGCTTTTACATTTATCAGATTTCCACTGTAGCAGCTTCATGCTACTCCCAGTTTTCCCCCTTAGCTGTAGGCAGAAGTATACATATTTATTTATGAAAATTTCTCCTTTCAGTGTTAAAAAATGACTCCCCCAACATTTGTACAAATATTGATGACTTTTTAAATCTAGCAATTAATACCTGAGCCACAACAAACATATACTGATGTTTTCATTCTTTTTTCTGTCCATATGTTAGGGCCATCTCTAGCTGACTTTTCAACTGTAAATTCACTGTGAACAAAGCAGTGACTTTGTTTTATTTGATATTTCTAAGCAATTTACTATAGATTTCTGTTACTGTGGCTTGGAGCTACACTTGAAATCCATTAACTTTTAAAAATATCTATTTATTTATGCCAGGCTTTAAATATGATATTGGGAGAAAGGATATAACCTAAAGAAAAGTATTTTTGGAATCATGGATCATGATTAGAACTAAAGAGGGACAGTAAAACCTATTTTTAAATGGTGTGAAACCTGTTCTACAATATCTGGTCTGAGAGAGGGCCACTACAAAGTATGTGACCAGTATTCAGCTAGAAGTCAGGTCCAAACTTGATTTGAGGTGGTAATTGTGTTTTTTGTCCTTGCTGATATGGAGTTCTGGTTGTGTGAACTATCTCTTTTTATATCTAAAATGGGTCAAAGACATGAATGTAGGGGTCATTTTAGAGTTAAGACTATGTTATTTCTCATCCATTCAAGGGGAATTTTGCCTGTCTGTCATGTGCAGGAAAACAGGGTGTTTATTTGGTTTTGCTTTTAATTTAGATTTATCAAGGATTTTTTCCCCTCTGGAAAGCAATTTTTTTTCTCTCAATAGTTGTTACTCAGTGCTATTAGATATCTGTAGTAATCACAGTTTGCTTTTGGTAGCAATTTGACCATTCACAACATACAGTATTAGTACATTCCCAAAAAAGTGCTAGAAATCCCAATATGTCATTTTAAATTCTAATTCTTAGGAGGTTAAGGTATAAAAACTGATTCTATGATTCTGCTAAAAAAAGAGCATATTGATCACATATCTAAATGGAATCTCTGTACCTCAAATCTACTGGGAATAGACCTTAATCCTAAAGAATGACAGTGATCTGTGCAGACCACCTGATTTTTGTAGTTTACTCTGTTAATTCTGCTCCAAAAAACCTTTCAGTATTCTTGAGCTTTTTAAAAAATTAACTTTTTAAAAGAACAACAGCAGTGAGAATAATGTTTTCCGATTTCTAAATTTTCAGGTTCCACAAATTCCTTTCCTTGACCCACATATTGGTAAGAACGAGGACCTTCAAAAGGCAGCATAAACTCAGCAAACTTTTTCAAAATAAGTTTTTTTCAAACAGCATGAAAGAACAAAATTTGAAGTAAGGAGAATTTCTTAGTTGTGCCTTTAGTAAATAATGTAGTTGAACACAAATATGATTTATCCACCTTATAGCAAATTTGAAGAGGTTATCCCTGTTTAATAACAACATAAGGGCTCATTGCAGATCTTTTCCCTGTGTTTCAGTTTTCCAAACACTGAGAAGTCTACCGTTTTTACTTGCAAGAACACCTCTTTAATTATCCAGCCACTATACCAACACTGCTTTTAATTTGGTTTTATTTTCTTTTGTGCTCTATGA